GACTGAGGCTTGTCCCTGTCAGCGGCGCTCCCGGGACGCCTCACCTGGGCGGGCCTCACCGGGGGACGGGCTGGTGGGAGAAGGGATCACCGGAATAGCCTAAAAACTTGAGTACCCAAAACGTGAGAGCTCCCAGCAAAAGCTACGCGTCGAAAATTTAATACTTAATAACGGTTATATTCTATAATTACCTCCTACATATAAATAAAATTGACCGAAGTTTACTCACAATTACCTGCTCATGGACAGAAGTTACTTATTATTTAAATTACTTTAGGATTGTTTTATAGAGATTCACCATTGAATCAGAAGAGCGACCAGAAAGTCGTTACTGATTTCTCCAGCACATCTCTTGTGTACGTTCATTCCTCCATCCTCTTCCCAAAGAGGAAACTGCAACAGCAGTTTTGGGGAGATAGTCATAGTTCTTCATGTTTTTGAAGGTTTGCTTTGTGTTCATATCAGAAATTATCTCACAGCGCACTTTCACTTGGAAATGATGCTTGGAAGGTTGCAGCAGGTCTGTCCTCTCAGAACAGTTTGGAATGATCTCCAAAAAGCACATCTGCTGCCCAAACAGGCTTTCCCTTTGGCAGAAGTTGTCTATCCTGTTCTCTTTTAAAAATTTTGTTTTGGAAGTCAGAAGTGGCTTGATCTTATATGAGAAAGATATTACTCTAGCATGGTGTTACTAGAGAAAATGGAGGGTTCAACATGTTTGTAAAAGCCTGTGTTGCTGAGGACAATCTCGAAGTGTTTTCAGTTAGTTGCCATTTCCTAAGGGCTGACAATTCATACTGATTTTATTGAGATAGTATTGCTGTAGCTTATCTGGAAGGTGAGAAAGGCATGTCCAATTCAGGCTAAATTACTATCTACAGGATATAATAGAGTCTTTAGTCAGGTATAAATGGTAGAAAGTTTGCTCAGCTGAATCAGCTTCTCTCCTGTCGTAAGTTAACTCATAACATTGGCACACAAACTTTGAAATCCATTTTCCAGTCTCCAAAGAATGATTCTAATGCCCAGACAGTTCTTTACAAACAGGTTAAAAAAAAAAAAAAAGTGTTACTGTGAAATAAATGGAGTCTCTGATAGGAGTTAAGTTTCTTGAAATCAAGTCACTGTAAGGATTACTACAAGGGTGTTTCTGGAAGCTTTTAAATTTTATTTACAATTACAGTTTAATAACAGAAAACTTTTGGGCCAAATTCAACAAATAGCACTAGACAGAGGATGTCAATGTGATTAGGAGACTGAGGGTAGGTACAAATTGTTAAATTGTATTTATAAGTACTTCTTAATCTGCATTTAGATGGAAAGAGTTAGAAGGTGAGTTTATGATGCAGTTTAAAAGCTGCCTGTTTATAATAGACTGAAAAATGAGCTGCCATGATGAAAAAGGGCATTTGACTTTAATTCCAGAAAAGGCATTATATATGTTCATCTTAAAATCTTCCATTATTTTTGCCCTTGCTTTTATTTTTAGAGCAAAAAATCAACCCTTTCCAAATTTGTGGTATGACTCACTCTCTTTAGAAACTGGGGCTTTATGCATTACAAAGGCAAGTCCAACTCCTTCCCCCTCCTGTTCCCATAGTAACTCTTCTAGCTGATGCCACTGTGAAGACTGCATTCCAAGTAATACCAACCCTTCAAATCCTGAAATACTGACTACTTTGTGGTAATAAAGAATATTTTAAAAGTTGGTGAAAGCCCTGAAAGCACAGAAAAGTACTAACACTTGCAAAACGTCTCATAAGAAGCCTCACAGGAACGCCTTCTATTCAAGAGCTATTGGAGATTAGTACATATTAGCCGTTACAAGATTTAGCTGTGATGATATCTTGCCACTGTGGCTGCTGCAAGCATCATTCCGTTTCTTTGTCAAGGAGACAGAATGTGAGGGTGACCTTGTGGGATTTTTTTCCAGGCAGCGATGTTGCTGTAGAAACAATGGCAGACTATTCAGTGCTCTGCACAGAAGCCTCAGACATCTCACAGACAGCAACAATAGGAGAATGGCTCATAACATATTCCAGTTTTCATTTGTTTGTTCAGGGCTAGACCAGGAGAAGCCATTTTGGCAAGCCAGAATACTCCCATGAAGGAGAAGCAAAAATGCATGTAGTGTAGCAGAAACGAAAAAGATGAGTAGCAAAATGTCCTTATTTTCACCAACTCTTAAACAGCTCTAGAAACTATTTCCTATTGAAAATAGGAACAATGATGTTATCTTTAAAACAAAAAACTACTGTTAACTGCAGCTTTTTACACTTTTTTTTTTACACTTTTTTTTTTTTTAATAACAAATCAGTTTTCTTTTACCATCAAATCTACTGGAATACCACTTACTTTCCACAATGCAGAGTAGTTTGGTCATTTTCACATTTAGTCAATACCACTGCCTTCGTATATGCCTATAGCAACTGTCATGAGTTATCCTCCTTCCTACAACATAATACCATCATTATCGCACCCCCTTGCACTGTACTTTCTGTCAAGGGATAACCAGCCAGAACTAGAGGCAGCGGTTTTACTGTCTTAAAAATTGGGCAATGCAGTATCACATAAGCAATCACAGGCCAAATGTTGATGTAAAGAAGACACAGTGTTCACTTTGATCTTAAAACTGTCTGCTTATTTGCAGAAGGAAGAAGTAGGAATAACTATTTTTTGATCTCCTCTCTTCCTGTAGTTGCTGGTAACTATAGCACCAACATTCTGTATTTGGCTCTGTAGCTGTGAGGAATGGCTATGGAAGATCCTGACAAGAAGACTGAAGTAGTGCTGCTGGCCTGTGGGTCCTTCAATCCCATCACCAACATGCATCTAAGGCTATTTGAGCTGGCTAAAGACTACTTCCATGAAACAGGTAGGATGATGACTTACAGTATTCAAAACAGCTCTGATCTGTAGACATTTAAATGTTAAAGTGAATATTTTTGTACGTGTATGTCTGTCTGTCAGTGACATATTTTTGAAAAGCTGATGAGACACTGAAGCCAGTACGAGTGTATATATCATACTGAGTCACGTAGGCCAAATACATGAGTGAAGAATCTTACATATTTGTTGCTTGTTAGTTATTTTAATGAGCTAAAGCTTTAGCTAAAGCTCATTAAAAGCTAAAGCTATAGCTTTTCTTTCTGAAATTAGAGAGCTATTATCAGGTCTCCTAGAAATACATCTTTCTAATATATCTGACTAAATCTTTAGTTGTACTGCCTTGTACAATGGCAGGAGTATACTGTACTTTTCCACTCGGCTGGTTGTCAGAGCTAGCATTGGTTTTCTTAGACTACAATGAATAATGGGCACATAATAGTTTACATACAATACAGTGGAAGTAACATCTGCTCAACCACTTCTCATTTTCTTGTGTGATGTGTTTTTTTTTTTTTCCACAGGAAAATACAAAGTAATCAAAGGAATCATTTCACCAGTAGGTGACGCATATAAGAAGAAAGGTCTGATCAGTGCCAATCACCGAGTAACTATGGCAAAACTAGCTACAAAAAGCTCAGATTGGGTAGAAGTTGATGACTGGGAAAGCTGCCAGAGTGAGTGGTTGGAAACACTCAAAGTTTTAAGGTATACTTCAGCCAAATCCTAAAAAGTCTCAAGAACCTATAGAAGGATGAGGAATAGTGTAGTTCTAAAAAGTAGAATAATATCAAGCTAATCCCAAAATCACATGAATAGGTTCAGTGAAGTCAGACGTGACATTTGCATGAACATTATGAATGAAGGATTGCAACATTAGTACTAAACATAGAAAAAACTCAGTCTGTGAACAATTTTTAAGATCATGCATGTTTTCTTAGGCCTTGCTCATTTTTTGTGCTGAAAAAATAAGGTATTCATGAGAGAGGAAAAGAGACTAGAGTAGGGTGGACATACGCTACACAACCTTCCCTCATTTGATTCTGACTGTACTAGGCTGCCCATATGTATTTTTAAAGGCTGGTGTGAGTATCTTCTAAATTAGTATGTTTTACTTTTTTTTATTCTCATGCCACAGGCCTCTATAATTTTAATATCGCTACTATAATTTTAATATTGCTACACTTTTATATTTTTAAGGATGTTTCAGTCACTCCTACTTCACTGTAGTTCTTCTTTTTAAAACGAGCTTTTATTAAGAAAACAAAAAAAAGACAGACCTTGTAGTTGTTGCTTTGAAGTCCTTGCACTTTGACCCTCTTACGACCCAGAGCTCACAAGTCACTGAACAGATCAGTTCTTGGATAGGTAGTCTGTGAATGCACTGCAGGAGGAAGATGTAAAAGATTATTTAGTAGGCAGTGCTCTTCTATATTCTCTTGCATCTTTAAAATATCTAAAAAACATCTGTTTTTCAGGTACCACCATCAAAAGCTGTCATCTCCTGATCCCACAAACAGTTTGCAGAATGCTATACCTTTAACAAAGCCAGGACGGAAGAGGAAACAGGAACCCAATAGGCATGACCCCATTAAAAAGAAAAATCAGAGTCCAGATATAAAAAGTTAAGTCTGTTGGCAAATTAAATGCTTAAAAATACTTGCTCTTTCCTAGGGAATTGTGCTGTGTTATAAGTCAGTCTTTTTTTGGTGCTAGTTCTTGGTTCTGATGTCACTGAAAAAAATTATTGACCCAGATCCCATAGCATGAAGCAGTAGTCTTTGTAATAACCAGACTATTAGGGTAAAACGTGTGGGACATGAAAAATGTAGCATTTATTTTGATTGTTGCTTTCAGATCTTAATTTAATGCTTTGGCTTAGTATGTAAAATTGGATTAATTCATATATAAATTGAATGGTCTTGCATAATCAACAACCATCTTAATCTTCTATATTCACAAATCTTGACTTCTGCCTGTAAGTTCCTTGAAACTTTCCAAATTTTACTAAGTTTAATTGATAGTGTTTTAATGTAAATATGCTCAAATAAAAGACTAACAGCGTCTGGCAGGCTTTTCCCATACTGTGTTGGTAGATGTTTCACTACATTCCTACCACCCTGTGACATTACCGGAAGCTGTAAATCTGTAGCGCATGCAGGCTTGTTTCCATTACCTCAGGTGTTCTCTATGTGCGTGCTTCTCTAGATGCCATATAAAACATAGTAAGGAATAGAGTCCCCTGAAGTCAGATCGCACAGCTGGGGAGGGAGAGGGTCTTTTCTTTCCTCACATAACCCTCCGTACCCCATAAAAGCTAGCTCCTTTGCTGGAAATCTATGGAATGTCAGATAAAGTTTTAACTGCATTACAGTGGCTTCTCATACATCACTATCCTGGAACTCTCTAGATTTTCTTTGATCCTCCCAATGACCGATTCGCCACAAGGCTAAATGAGCATATTTAGAATTATTTTCTAGTCCTTTTGAATGAAAGGGCTCCCATAACTTCTTTTCAGAGGAATTCTGTGTTAAGGCTAATAATTATATGTTCTGAATCTTTTTTTTTTTTTTCATTCCATTACCTCACCTTAACCAAATTATAGAGAGGTAGCTTAAAAATTAAGTGTCCCCATTAAGTGAGCTAAAGTCTGGTGACCTAAACTAAGCCCTCTTTCTCACTTTTTTCTTTTTAAGGTGTCCCACAGGTTAAACTGCTTTGTGGAAGTGACATGCTGGAATCTTTTGGGATCCCCAATCTGTGGAAGTTGGAGGATATCACTGAAATTGTGGCAAATCATGGCCTCGTATGCATCAGTAGGGCTGGAAACAGTGTTCAGAAATTCATCTATGAATCTGATATTTTGTGGCGTCATAAGAATAATATTCACCTAGTGGAAGAATGGATCACAAATGACATCTCCTCCACCAAGATTAGGAGAGCACTGCGGAGAGGCCAGAGTATTCGTTACCTAGTGCCTGATGCAGTTCAAGCGTACATAGAAAAACATAATCTGTATAGTCCAGAGAGTGAAGACAGGAATGCTGGGGTTGTCTTGGCTCCCTTACAGAAACATGCAAGCGATTCCAAGAACTAACAGGCATTATACAACTTTCACTCTTTCTGCTGTGTAAAGGCTACAGTTCAGTGCAGGAAAATGTTTGATCTTTTCTAGTAAATAGTGAGCTAATTCTGTGGCTCTAGTACATGTGTAGTTGCTACTGAGGTTGCGTGTGCTCAAGAATTGGACCTGCACCATCTTTTTTTTTTTTATATCCAGTAACAAGAGTTTGATTTTGATTTTCGTATCTAAACATTTTGTCATGGTTCAGTGAACTAAATGCAAGAGTTGACCTTAGCATACAAGAATTACAAATTAACAAAGAGCAAACGAAAATATTCTGATTAGTTTGACTGCTCAGACTGTTATTTATAAAATACTAAAACAAATGTTTTTAATACTTTATGGTGTCATAGGTAGCAGACAAAGCCTTTTCAAACCATTTCAAAATGTACCACTTACTGATAGTAAATCAGTATAACTCAGTTTTTAAAAGTTGCCAACATATGATGGATCTCAAATAAATGTTTTAGCTCTATCCTGGAAGGGGAAAACTTACTCCTAGCTGAACTGGTGCTAGGTAAGTCATGCTTTCAGTTGCTTCCCTTTCAAATATACAGCCTGTTTGTCTGCCATCATGCAGTTTTCTCCCAGAAATGCCTTGTGCTTCACTTTTCCGTTCACGTTTCCGAAGCTGTACTTTAAGCTCAGCACTGTTTCTCGTGAAGGGACAGACCTACTCCAGAAACTGGTTTATAGCCATTGAATGAACGGGTAAAGGTTAAGAATAGTGTCTTTGCGCTGATTCTCAGACAGTTGTCCCTTTATTTCAAATGGTAGAAGAGATTTTTGCTTTTGAGCCAAGAAAATGCAGCCAGAATTGCTTTCTGGAACTGGATCTGAGAAGAAGTGGTAAGAGACTAGGACTATATGTAAATGAAATGTTTTTGTTTCCTAGAAATCTGTGTTTGAATCTAACAATATATTGTATTACGTGAGTATAAACAAGATAGGCACCTTGAATGTCACGGTGATAGAATTCTACCTCCCCTTCTTTTCTGTCATCCCATTCTTTTGTGCGAATTATGTGCCTTATAAAAAAGGGCAAGGTTTCCAAGATGCTACCTACATAATAGGTCAACAGCTTTTTCATACCATCTCCACAAAACTCTGTTCACATTGTCCAGATCAACAATGCCAGCAGAATGGGAGATTCTCATGGCAGGGAGTCCGGAAGCTGGTGGACAAGTCTGGAACCAAGGACTTGCTGCAGATCGTAACCAGGACAACCTGTCATCCTCCTTCCTCAGGCAGGGGATCCACAAAGAGCCGGGGCTCCCTGGGAGCTTACGATGAGTCTGGAAGCCAGCAGCCACATGCAGAACGTGGGTGGCCCTAGACCCTGCAGGGCTAGTCTAGAATCCAGCAGGGAAGTCAAGGCTCTAGCAGGCAAGCCTGTAACCCAGTGATGGACCTAGCACCAGGCATGGAAGCGTCAAGCCTCAACATGAAATTCTGCATTTACAGTATATTAGAACCTCTGTTCTGCTAGCTCCAGCCTGTACAGGTGGCTGTCTACAGAGAATCTACAAGGAAATCTTTAATGGCACAAAATGAAGTCACAACTTAGAAGTTCACCTGTAACTGCACTGTGATTGAAAGTAGCATCAAGGATTCCTAGGGGTTTTTTTTCCTGGTGATTCCTGAATCAAATATGCTCTGTCTGCTGTTTTTTCCCCTAAAGCTTAGGCAAATTCACGCTGTTCTTTGATAATGAGGCTGCATTCACGTATCATCAACAAAATAAAGGTACTGAAGGCCAAATTATGCCCCCTGTCGCGCCTTAGCAAACAAACTGCCATAACTGATAGAAGGTACACTGTATTATTAGTGGTGCATAGGAAGGGACAAGATCTACTTTTTTGCCTGCTGCTATCTCCAAGGCTGACAAGAATAGAGAGCAAGCAAGATGTATTCTCAGCACTCAAGTCAGCTACTATGCTTCTGAATAAACACAGCAGATCTTTCCAATGAGAGCGCACCCTATTTATGTGGTCACTTTTCAGAGTAAAACTGCACTTTAAATTTATTCTTGTAAATGATGATGCTGGTGTGTGTTGCTGCACTTTGTGTAATTCTAGAGAAACAGTGCATATTCAACAGGATGTTTTATAGAGCTTTGGTCTTCAGACAATTATATTTCACTGGGTTTTAATGTAGTTATATGTGATGGGTCTTTCAATAAAATAAATTGCATGTAGTATGCTAATTTAACAGTCATCCTTTTATTAACCAAATCTGACGTCTGATGGCTGCATGATTTGTAAGGAGGTAGAACGGTATCAGTAGCATTTTGCCTATACAAAACATACCGCTATTCAAAAATTTCAAGCGAGTGCTGAATATTTTACCAGTGGGATCTAGGAGTCTGTCTGTTACAATACCAGCAATAAACCCATACAGACAATCTACTGTTCCAATCAGTTCTAAACATCACATTCAGCCCTGTGGCATATTCAAAAATGTTAAGACAAATACAACTTTCAAGAGCAGTCTAGATCTAAGGGAGAATTCATATGTAAGATTTTCAAATAATGGAGTTCACTGAACTTCTTTATTAAAGGGAACTACAGTTACAACGTATTCATAGATGTTCTACAAGCAAAAGTGAGGCAGATGTGTTTTAGATCATTGTATTTGGCTGTGCTCTATTAAGGGCCCTTACACCATACATCTAATTCAAACTCAAAATATTTTACAAACATTGCAACATCAGTACCAATCACTTCATCTAACTTCTGTAATGAGGCCACATCTTTAGCAGAGCATGTTAGATGTTTGATGCTGCACAGAAATGAAGATGGAAACATTTTCTTTCCACAAACAGAAAAACGTAAGGATTAGTAAGGGAGAATGAAATGAACCATTTAGGATTTGGACAGATCACTTGGTAGTTCTTACAAAAAGTTCTATAGACAGCTTTTTGATTTACCTTTGAAACCATAACTCAAGTATCCTCTCTAGGTCATAGTCTGAGATTTAGTACTGATACACATCCTAAACAATTTGCGTAACTTTCTATACTATCTTAATTTTCAATTAAAAGTTATATCCAAGCTTTTACACAGGACTTAACCAATTACTGATTTCTCTTTACTTGGAAAAGTCAGCAGTATTGCAACAGTGATCTTTTACTTTGTACCATAACCCTGTAATAACAGATTATGGGTGAAATGTTACTATTTGAGTCCAAGGGAAATACTAATTTGCATTTCTCTGTGCCATTCCTAGTTTAGTATAGGTTAGAGAACAATATCCATTGCAAACAGGAAACGTGCTTTGACGTCCTACTTTCCTACTCACGTGATGCGGTGAGTCATATAGGCCAAACTGTCAGCTCCAAAAATGCAGCCAAAGTTCAAGAAAACTTAATTTTCTCTGTAAAATACTATCCCTTAATTCAGCCTAACCTGAGTTTACTAAAAAGTCAGTAAATAGATGGACATAGTTGCTAGAGATGAGTTTCCTCATTCAAGATTTAGAATACCAACTTCCCTTTTTACTGTAGCAGCAGCATAGTTGAGTTTAAGATTGCACTTGCCCATCCGTTTTGGGTGTTTCTTTTAATGTAGCCTTTACTGTAGCGCTCATTGTTATCACGTCTGGCCACTTAAAACCTGGGATTAAGTTAATGCTCAAAACTTGTGTGTGACTTTGGGAAATACTGTTTTCCCCATTTGGCAGATGAGGAAACTGAAGTACAAAGTTATCTACCTTTCTTGTACTTAGCAGCTCAAGAGTGTTTAGTTTTTCAGGATTATCAGATCAGCAATTCTCAGTTTTTAACAACAACACACCCATTTTGCAAAGCATAACCGCAGATGGAAGAACTACAGGAGAATGGACAATTTCATATATTCTAAAGGAAATTAAATCTCACTTCCAAACTCCTCATACATTCTTTTCTTTCCTCACGTATCCACGCAGTTTAACAGACAAGGGTTGGCTGTTAAAATATGCCATGCTTTTACAGTGGGGAGTTCAACTTTTCACTAACTGTGCCGATTTCAAATCATAAAGCCCAATACCTAATACTCACACAGGGAACCTCAGTAATGACAAAATCCGTCTGTGATTCTCCTTAAAGTATACAAGATGGACAGAACAGTTTAAACCACTTCTTTGCTTCACACTGTGACTCTTGGGTTAATAACATTTGCTCCACACAAACATTTCAGAAACTGTGAACTTTTCTCTCCAACTGGGCTGAAGCTGATCTACAAATATCCTCTCACCTATTGGCTCAGTAACAGTACCCCTCCTCTCCATGAGAAAGGCCCTCAGATGTAATCCCACCCACAGTCTTCCTCATATAAGGCCTCATTTAAAAACTGCCCTTTAATTCTTGCTTTTTGGTCAGAAATTGCCTGAATCTTGTTTTCACAGTCTGGCAATGCCTGTGGATTTCAATGGAACCTGGAACCTTACCAGTAATGACAACTTTGAAGGTTACATGCTGGCCTTAGGTAAGTGAGAATATCTGATTCTGTCCTTCATCTCTGCCCCCTTAAGGGGTAATTTTAGAGGAGTTTAAGTTCTCCTAAAACCCAGATATTGCTGAAGGTTTTCTTTGGTTTTGTTTTCTCCTCTAAATAATAATAGAAGGATGCACCTGTCATCCCACTATAAGGATCTCTGTTCACTGATAAACATATAACTATACTGTACCCTGTGAGCCAAGCGTCCTCGTAGCTTTCAGGAATTTCTCTAACTAGCGCTTGTTAAGGTAGAACTTATGGAACGCTTCCATTAGAGACAGGGAAGTGTTCTACCTGTCCACTAAATTGCTCTTACTTTTGAGCATACTGTTATGCCTGAATCTAGGACCGAGTAAACAACAAGTAACCAAAAAAACTTCCTAGGCGCTTCTAGGCACTTGTTTAGCTTAGTGTCACTTATCCTTAAACAGCTCACAGAAGGGCTTTCTCATTGTGACCTGTGTGGGGCTGCTCAGCAGCCCCTCTAAATGTACATTTTGTAGTGTGCTTGAAGCTAACTTCTTACCTTGCTCAAATCTTTCATAGAGAGATACTAACGATGCAGTAATGGGGAAACCTGGGAAAGTTCTTGGAACTGCATAGCTTTCTTGTGCAAAGTTGATTATAAGACTGTGACATTAGGTAACCCTATACACTGCCTTCCTCTCCCTGCAATCCTTTTCTGCCTTTTCAACTCGTACAAACTAATGACTGGCAGTGTCTCTTGACAGTTATTGTATGTACTAGAATGCAATCTATTTTTCGGGGCCATATCTGTGCTCGATGACCTACTTAAATTGTCTAGCCAATGTTCTTAAAATGTTGAAAGAACTCTCCTCTCCCTTTCTAATGCTGCTGTGCTATCAGTTATCAGTCAGAGCAATAATGGCTGTTCTTAAATCCTCTTTTAGGATTAATGAATGCTCTCAACATCTCAAACAGCTTAAGGGATACATAATAATTTGAAATGCTGAACTACAGTGTGGATGAACTATCCAAATTCTCAAGACTTTCTGCACTTAAATTACGTGCCGATTCTGAAATATCAACACAAGCGAAAGGTGATTCTTTGCCAGCCTATTATTGGGACTCTGTCAAACTTGACAGTAAAACCTCATTATGGGAGTACTTTCTTTTTTTTTTCCCTCGAATAAGTAAAGCTTCCTAGTTTTATGTTAGACAGAGTAATATATGCTCTTATGTATTCATTTCTACAAAGGAAATAGAGATTCAATCTGTTCCTTGATAATAAATATTGTCCAGCTGATGTAAAAGGGTGTGTGTTTGTTTTAAGAAACAATCACCAAGCTTATGAAAATGCAATTTGTTTTCAGCATATACTTGGGGGAAGCTGTTCCTTAAAAGGCAAGGCAAAGAATCCTGTTGGTGACTTACAACCCATCCTTACTTGCTTATTCCCGCTTGGTTGCCCATATATTAAATAAAACAAGAACCAAGATCAACATCGTGGAGTTGGAATGAGAAACTAATCTGCCAGGGCAAGGCATGAGGAGGTTAGTTACCCAATCAGCTGAGTAACCAGAGGGTTATGGATGAGAAGGCAGTGGCTATGCCGAGCCTAACCCTTCTTTCAGTCCAATAACTGAACCTCTGACCTACAGATTTAGTAGTTTGTAATCATGAACACTTACCCACTAAGCCTCAGCGTGGTTGTATGGCTGTTGCCGGTACAGAGTTCAACCCTCTGCTGAAATAAGAGCACCACTGAACTGGTAACTACATAAAGACATTACCGATGGATTCTAGCACTCCTGTAATGCATGCAGCGACAAAGAAGTCCTGTTTCAACTCAGACTGCATGATGAACCATATAGTCCAACATGTGGTAGCTGAACACATTCTGTCAAAAAGACCACATAAACACAGAACTTTTTTTCTGCTGGTCATATAAATGACATTTTATCTAGGTGATGGTAAACAGCTAAACTAGCATATAGTCTCACATTTTACCCATTCCACGTGCTTCCTAAAAAGGTAACTCTGAGCCTACTTTTGGGATGCTGTATAACTGTTGCCTGCCAAACAGGTGTCCTATTCTTCTAAAGAAACATATGTTCACTAGAGAAATGGGAAAACCCTAGGAGCACTGATTTAAGCTCAGTATTACCAACAACATCAGGATGCTGTTAAAGACCATTACAGACAATCAGGCAATGTTTTGAAAAGTATGATGTTTTCCAGTTGCACTTAAATGGTGTCAACAGCAAGTGGCAGGTCCTGAAAATAGGACTACTAGTTCCAGGACTGCCTTTTATCTGAAACTGTTTAACGTGCGTGGTACAAAGATTCCTTGTTACTTCATATGAAGTATTTCATCTGACAAAGGGCAAGAATAGACATTCACTGTTCTCTGTAGCTACCAATTAGGGGGTCAGTCTGAGACCATGCTTGGGGGGGGGGCGGGGGAGTCCTGTAAAAAAGACTCTTCTGACTTGAAGTCCTAGAAATCTCACGTAAGAATTGTGCAACACTTGAGTAAACTGCTTTCCAAAGAGTAAAACGTTCAAGAACATGTCTTGAAGCATGCAATATATAACAGCTTTAAAAAAAAAAAAAACCCTTGCATAACTGTAATGCCAAACTACCCTTAAGAAATGCTCCAGGAAAGATCAAAGGTAAGTCTTGGGGTCAGAATGGCTGGTGACCAATGCAACTGCTCTTGCACATTTTTTTTTTTTCCTTCAAGGTATTGACTTTGCAACACGCAAGATAGCAAAAATGCTGAAGCCACAGAAGGTGATCCAACAGGAGGGCAACTCTTTTTCTATCCATACCACTAGCACATTCAGAGATTATTTGCTCCAGTTCAAAATTGGAGAAGAGTTTGAAGAAGATAATAAAGGTCTGGATAACAGAAAATGTAAGGTAAGACGGATCATATAAAAATCAAGAAGCCACGATCCATCCTGATACTCGAGCTGAAGTTGTTTCACAAATAGGTTCCTACCTCAGGGTTGCATCAGAAATCTTGAGTTACAGACAAGGAATATCACCTTTCCCCAGCAGTAGTATTTAGGTTTTTTTATCCAGGAGGAAAGGACACTCTCTAATAGATGCACTTCAGAACTCAGACATACATAAATGCTTTTTTTCTTTTGTTTCCTCTTGAACAGAGCCTAGTTACGTGGGACAATGATAAACTCGTCTGTGTCCAGACTGGTGAAAAGAAGAACAGGGGCTGGACTCACTGGATTGAAGGAGATGACCTCCATCTGGTATTTACTTTGATTCAGACTTGCACTCCCTATATGAAAGAAATAAGATCTATGTGGTCATGGTCTGCACAAGTTTTCTTTTATCTCTGTAGTATAGGTAATGGACAGTGCATAGGGAGGACATTCTGCTTTGGTTCAGTTTAGTTGGAACAACTGTACGGTCTTAATCGTCTATCTTGGTCTTTTACAGTTAAATTCAAAATGTCAAGCATAACTTACCATCACGGCAACCAATCAACTGCCAGTAGTCATGGCAAATGATCTATGTTTAGAAATATACCTTTAGAAATATATAGACCCTTTGATTACTAGATAAATTTCTGTGCTCTCCTCTTTTTTGGTAGGAGCTTCGTTGTGAGAATCAAGTTTGTAAACAAATCTACAAGAGAGCTTGAATATTTGAGTAATGGTTCCTACATGGAAGGACAGCTATACACAGGAGACCATGGATCATCACTTCCAGCTGTGGATACACAGACAAGAATTCTGATTCCTTGTACCTGTTAACCTAAACTGTCTGACAGTTCTGGCTCAGGAAATGTTGTCTGCTGTTGCCAGTGTTACAAATCTGATTTTTGCTAATAAACACTCAAAACCAAACCAATCTTAAGTGTCTGTCTTCCGAATGTGTAAAAAAAGATATAGGTGACATGGCTTGTGCTCCTCTGAATCAAAACAAGCAAAACCTCCTGTTCTAAAGGGATAAGCCAATATCAAACAAAATTTGAGGGGAGAACTTAAACCTGTGTAACTCTACTCTGGAGATGGAAGAGAAATGAAGATGTTTAGTGTTTGCTATGAGCTATATTCTTTCCATCTAGAAAGCTTTTATCTACAATAACTATACTATTTGATTATTGAAGTTAAGTATATCCTTCATACAGCTCTGAAGAACAGCTTTTAGCTATGCAGTACACAGTGACGAGTCCTGTACTATTATTTATTATTATTATTATTAGCTTTTGTACTTGTGCACTTAACACTTCAGTTCACAATAGCTTGTGTGCAAATGCTAAAACATACAATGTATTAGAGCTCAGACCGTGCTATGATTAGGCTAATCAAAGCAGACCATATAAATCTCTTATTTAAAATGCTTCTGTAAGATGCAGACTAGTAGTTCATCAGAAATTAATCCTTTTTTTTTTTTTTGTATCTTATACGTGCAATGTAAAATCCTATATTGCAACATAGTTGCTCTTTTATCAAAATAAGTGAAGCTGAGCTCACTGGAGGTGAACTAGTCTGTGATCACTTACCACACTGATGAAGATGCGTCTAAGTAATCCACGTAGATTCCAGTCTGCAAAGTAATGGAACACCATAAGAACACAGCTAGTGCGAAAATAATGCTTCTTTCGTTAAGATTAACTATTTGCACGCTACAATTCTTACCTGTTCAGCTAGCTCAAACTTTTCTCCTCTTCTCTTCTGACCCTGTGTACTGTTGCAAAAAAAAGGTAGGTTTTATTCTGCTTCATGTATTAATGGAAGTGTAGAAAACGGGAGCAGTCGAATCGAGTTGTTAGCTATGTATGAAATGAGTTTCTGCATATCACTGGTAACATTAACGTTGCAGCAGTCTTATCTCTAGGGGAAAAGGAGAGGAGAGTTTGATTAAACCTAGGTTAAGGATAGTAATTTAACTAGAAAATATTTTCTGCATAGAAACTAAAGCTATCCCTGCCATTTTGAGAGATGATACGTAATACAACTAATCTTCTGATTATTTCTTGCTCACTCTCATCTCAGAATTCCTAAGGCTGCCAGCAGAGGTGGACAAAATCTTTTGAAGCTTGGAGGGTTTTTCATTACTCTCCCATATAATTCCTAGAGGATTATGTAAATTTAAAGTAGTTTCCAAAACAAAAAGAGAAGAACTAGTACTCCTTATATGGTAAGGACAAACACTTGGGGGAACAGGAGTAAAATTCCTGATACATAGTCTATGAAAGTTGATAGTATTGGGATTCTGGAACTGTGAGTAGCCCTTCCTTGCGGTGGGAGGGAGAAGGAAGGGGAAACAAAGCCTAACTTTACAACGCTATTTTACTATAAACACTCACGCAGCAAACCAGCCGCCAGGGCCACCAGCAGTAAAGCCATGCAGACTTTCCTACTCCACTAGATGGCATCTCTGCAACATACTGCATCTTTATTCAAACTGTAGAGGCTCTCAACAGCAGCATTTTAAATGTTAATACTACATATGCTGCCAAACCCCACAGCTTTTAAGCTGTACACTCAAATATTATATACATGAGAAACAGTACACAAACTTAAAGGTCACAACAGTGACCTTGAGAGCTTTTTTTAGTATAGAGTCCAAGTAGACATCAGAAAAATGTAGCCTCAGGAAGGTTGTGTGACTAGAAGTAATACTTTGGTAGTAAGGCCTGCTATTAGAAAGTCCTTACTACTAAAACTATAAAAGAGCTATCAGCAGTGATATGACTTTTTTCCCTGCTACCTTCCTGCTTCAAATTGCTGACCTGAAATCAGGTAATACTATGCAGAACTCACTTGAGGATGCTTTGGAAATCTCAAAGATAAGCAGCTACTACAGCAACAGAACTGCTCAGTAAATCTCACTTACAAATTAAACATCTTGCAGTGCAAGGTGAACAAAGAAAGGGAACGGTTCTACTTTCTGAAACTGAAAAAAAAAAAAAAGATACAAATACAGCTTTTGCCAAGAAGGTATGCTCTTGAACTCTGGAAGCGAAGGACAGGAAAAAAACTCCCTGGGGAAGCATTCGAAAGGTTTTATTCAAAGGTGCTTTAGATCACTTCAATTATCTCACTACAGCTTTGATGGTGAAACTTTTTCAGCAACCAGTCTCTGAGTCTTTCAGTCAGTGCAACTGCTGACCATGCGCATTTTATGATTTTAGGGAAAAATATAGCAGGCACAATGAATAACATAATCCCAAGAAGAAACACAAGACCAAGCATTATTCAAAATCATTAATTAAATTAAGATAATGACAGGCAGAGAGGTTCAACAGAAAGACCAGTAGTAAATTCTGTGATCCAATTATTTACTAAATAATTTATTCTCCACTCAGGGCTACTCACCAAGTCATGAAAAAAACACCGCTTTTGTTCAAACACTATTATACCAATACAGTAAATTAAGGAAGTGTACTGAAAGGCAACACCAAATAGTGTATCCGCCTCATATCTGGAAAAAGTAATCTGGTCAGCTGTATTGCTTTACCCTTATTTGCAGTGCTCAGGGAAATACATCTTTAACTCCGTTCCTTGTTCGCAGAGACTGGCCTGCTTCTGCTTCAAGAACGCCCTGTTGTCCTCCTTTTATGGGCTTCTTTCAGGCGCTGAGTCAAACTATGCTGCTACCGCGCGCAGCTTTCTATTAAGATCTCGTTATTGGGTGACCGTTCAGCCCTGGGACAACAGCTGCTGCTACCACCACCCCCCACCTTTTTCCTGTCCGTCCCCGAAAGAGCAACTTCTCAAGGTCCTCCTCTTTTCCACCTGCGTGTATTAACACTGACCTAACGAGCAGAGGTGGAAGTGAACACCCAAGTTATTCAAGTCAACCCAGACCCCGGCTGTTTTGTTCCTGTTCTAACATGAGGTGAGGCAGGTTCAAGGGAGAGGAAAAAGAGAGGAAGAAAAGATGAAGGCGACAGAAATATTTTCCACAGTGATGGGGGGGGGGAAACAATTTGGGGGTATAACCAAAGAAAAAAAGTAAGAGAAAAAGCTCTGGAAAGAGCCAGATGCAGAAAAGTTTGTGTTTTTACACAAGGAGGAAAAAGATACTTCAGGTTCAAACTACGGTTAGAAAGGGATACGGCACACGGCTTAGCAAACACCCGGAGCTTAATGCCTCAGTCTGCCCGACGTAGATTATGCAGATTTTAGTAATTATGGAGGGGAAAAAAAAAAAAAAGGAAGTGGTATCTTAACCATTACTGGGAAGAGGGTCAACACCTCAGCGTAGGCGAG